ACGGCAGCACTGCCGCAACAGCGCTGTGAAGCGCGACTGTAGTCGTGCCGCCAGCGCTGTGAGAGAGCTCTCGCAGCGCTGTATGTACTCCACCTCTCCGAGGGGAGTAGCTTGCAGCGCTGCAAGGGAGCGTGCAGCGCTGCAGGCTCTGATTACACTGGTGCTTTACAGCACTGTACTCGCTGCACTCGGGGGGGGCGTTTTCACACCCCTGAGTGCAGCAAGTTGCAGCGCTGTACAGCGCCGGTGTAGCCAAGGCCTTGGTATTGACACCTCCTCCTCAATTATTTGGAGTGGACCATAGAATCATAGAATATTAGGGTTGGAAGAGACCTCAGGAGGTCATCTAGTCCAATCCCCTGCTCAAAGCAGGACCAACACCAACTAAATAATCCCAGCCAGGGCTTTGTCAAGCCGGGCTTTAAAAACCAATAAGGATGGAGATTCCACCACCTCCCTAGATAACCCATTCCAGTGCTTCACCACCCACAGGTGATAGGGTGGTTTTGTCTTTTGTCAGTTTCTTAGGTGAGTTCATTGGAGAGCATAGTGATTGGTTTCACTCACGTATTAGGGCAGTTAATACACTGGATGAGGTACACCACATGTTGTGATGGGCATGTGTAGGATCCATGGCTCTCTCACCAACAGAAGTTGGTCTAATAAAATATATTACCTCACCCACCTTGTCTCTCTAATAACCTGGGACCAACACAGCTACAACTACACTGATTTGTTAAAGTCATTTTGATATTACCTAAATTTTTCAGAGCTGTCCTTTGGCAGAACATTTCAAAACTGTGATTTTCATCCCAAATTGGGATGAAAGGAAGTTTCAAAGTGTTGGAATTTCCTGGAGAATGGAAATTCTGTGTTTTGACCAGCCCTAGTAGAGCCCATGGGGTAGGGGAGAGGGAGAGTGATGGCTCTCAGCTTCCTGGATCCACACTACGCAGACCAACATCTGTCCCTGGAGATCACTAGGAAGCCAGTGGTGTTCCTTGGCAGCAGAGGTATTTATTCCCAGCAGTCACAATCTGCACCAGCTGAAGTTTGGAGTGGTTTATAGGTGTTGCCCTTGTAGAGTACATTACAACCTAGGTGCTGGAACTAAGGGTGAAGGGGTGCTGCCGCACCCCCGTCTTGAAGTGGTTTTCATTATATAGAGGGTTCACAGTTTGGTTCAATGGCTCTCAGCTCCCCACTATAAAAATTGTTCCAGCCCCCCTGCATTACCCCATAGAATCATTAAAGGCGTAGACGGTCTAGGACTAGCAAACCTCAACTGCAGGGAGACATTCAGTGATATAACAAAGCCACTCTGACTCCCAACCAAGGAACTAGAGTGCAGAAGCAGCTGTGATGGCACTCATGGATTTTATGGGCTGCCAGTAATGAAGCAGGCTCTCTAAAGCAGTGGTTCTCAAACTTTTGTACTGGTGACCCCTTTCACATAGCAAGCCTCTGAGTGCGTCCCCCCTTATAAATTAAAAACACTTTTTTATATATTTAACACCATTATAAATGCTGGAGGCAAAGCAGGGTTTAGGGAGGAGGCTGACAGCTCGCAACCCCCCATGTAATAACCTCCTAACCCCCTGAGGGGTCCCGACCCCCAGTTTGAGAACCCCTGCTCTAAAGGTTAATGGGAAGCGGAGTATATGCTGAGATTTCTGCCACTTGCCACCTGGCCTTGTTAGGTCTCTCACTCCTGAAAACCTCTGGAATCCCAAAAGAGAGCCATTTCTTCATTGTTCTTTCATACAGTAGTGAGGTTTGTGTTCTCGTATGTGCTCTGCTGATCACACTATGACAAATGCAGCTGTAGGTGATGCTACACTGTGGAGTCAGGTAGGCTGAGCAGCAGTTTTGATAAATCTCTTTTAGCTACACGACCATATGGCATCATCTTGGAACTTCCTGGCAATAACAGTGTCTTTCGCGTAGGGTGACCAGACAGCAAATGTGAAAAATTGGGACGGGGGTGGGGGGTAATAGGAGCATATATAAGAAAAAGACCCAAAAATCGGGACTGTCCCTATAAAATCGGGACATCTGGTCACCCTACTTTCGCGGGAACCAAAGCCGTGATGGCTCTCTGCTCACAGATTGCACCTACACTGCTCTCTGGTGGAGGGATGCAGAAGTAAAGGAATGAAATGAATTCTGCATGCAAAAAAAAAAAAATCTGTACTCTCCCCAGAGGTCAGTTTTGAGCAACTCAAACAGTAAATAACTGCTTTATTGAGACATGTACATCAGCAGAGACAGAGAGAAGAAACTGGTCATCTCTGTAAGCAAAGGGAATTTTGTTTTCTGTAAGTGTAAAAGAGGAACAACCACACAACAGCTACAGTCAGCAACAGGGGAAACATACATTATGCATGTTTCCTGTTTTTGTCCTGAAGGAAGCTCACGCTTCCCTTTCTATTACTACCTGGAAAGAGAGAAACATTGTTTATTCCTTTTAGACATTAAGATTGGATTTTCAGCTGCCCTCAGCCAATTTCTAAAATGGCACCTGCAAGTGTTGTGCACTCACTTGTTTACATATTCAAAAGTCACACAGGGGAGCACAGTGAGGCTGGATGGAACTGTCTAGCTTTGCTAAGAGACAGCGGGAGGAAACAGGGCTATAATCTATGAGTTTCTGAACGGTGCAAGCAGCTGAGGGGGATGCGGGGGTTATTGAGTATGATACCCTAGGAGAGATGGAATGTAATGGAGAAAAGTATTTATTGACTTTTCTAGAGTGCTGCTCATCACTAGAGTATCTGAGCATGCCACTGACCATTTAATTATTTATCCACAGTGGGACAGCTTCAACAGGAGAGCTTCAGCCTGGATCTGGCCCCGCACAGAGAATAGGCAGCCAAACGCCTCTCTTCCCCCTGTTCGTGAATCACTCTGCAGCTTAGGCAGGAGACAGGTCTCTAGGCACATGCCCAGAAACAGACTCCTAGGCACCAAAGGAACTTTTACCCTGAACATATAGGCTCTGAGTGCGTTTAGCACCGACAGGGTTTGACTGGGGTTTTGTGCATCGCAGCGGAGCCTAAAGCTGGGAGTTAAGCACCTAAGTACCCTTCTGAATCTAGTCCTAAGTGACTTGCCCAAGATCACACAGAAAGCCTGTGGTAGGGCCAAGATTTGAACCTGACTGTCCTGAGTCCCAGTCTGGTGCCTTAGCAAAAAGATCATTTTCCATAAAATTTCTGTTAAGGCAAAATTTCAGCTAAATAGCAGGACAAGATTTCTAACAATGAGATCTATTAGACTGTGGAATAATCTCCACGGGGCAGTAGGGGAAGTTCCATCACTTGGGAATAATCCTGCCCTGGCCCCCATGAGATGGACTGGCTGACCTAACGGGTCTTCTAAATTTCTAATTTCAGTGATTCTGTGACAGCTTCTGTAACTGCCTGAATGGGCATGCAAGTGTGACGTAACTGCCTATGTAACTGCCAGCATTCCCAATGTAACTGCCTGAATGGGCATGCAAGTGTGATGTAACTGCCTGTGTAACTGCCAGCATTCCCAATGTAACTGCCTGAATGGGCATGCAAAGGCAGATTTAGTACTTAAAATAATTTCATTCATAAAATTATAACCCTAATTATACAGGCTACTTTTGAAATTCGTCCCTAAAAATGTGCGGTAGAAGGGTAAACTGTGGGGATATAACAGTAACCTTGTGGGAAATATCCAGCCCTTACAGAAGAGTAGAAATTTTCCAGCAAATAATAAATTCACTTAAAAATGCATTTTCCAGGGCACTGAAACTATTCACAAATTCACGTCAAATGCAGCAAATAGTTTTGTGCAAACTTTTTTTTTCTTCAAAAAAAATTGAAATGTTTTGTTTCTGACCATTTCAAAACTAGAAGTTTTGACTTCATTTTAAAATGGTTTTGTTTAGAATTTTAAACAAATAGGGGGTGAAAAACACCCCCAAACAACTGAAAACTAAATAAAAAACTAAAGAAAAAAAAAACCTTTGGGGTCAAAGGAAAGATTCCTCTGATCCAAAACAATTTACTTTTTGGTTTTTCATTTCAGCCCCTGAACCAGTTGTTGTTTTTTTTCAGGGCAAAACTTGAACTGAAAAATCAGTTATTCGCTCAGCTCTACCAGCTCCGGTTTTCTAGTGTCCTGAGAGTGCTGAAGAGGTGAGAGAATTGAAGGAGCAGCGTAAGTAGGCTCCACTAGGGGTCAGTCCCTCCCATCCACTGCCTCTTGTTCAGAAGGAAAGGGGCTAAGAAGGTTGGACGGGGAAGGTGAAAGCAAGTAGGAGATACTATGAACAGTGCAAGCAAAAAAGGGCGGCAGTATAGAAAAAAAAGGAAAATGGAACTGGCAATGCAGCTTTGACCAGGTACTCATACAGAATATGTTAAGGTAAATTATGAGGAGGCAGTAGTTACTTAAATGGAAGTTACATTAGGCATTTTTAGGGTGATCATGTTATTTCTACCCCTCTTCTGTAGGTAGCTTCTGAGCACTGGCCATACTGATGACACTACCAAGATAAAAGATCACATCCCATTACAAACTTAGGGCCAAAGTGATTTCAATGGAGTTACACCAGCAAAGATTGTGGCTCCTTAGTCTTAATTCTGCCTTTTTGTACACCAATTTCTTGAGGTTTGTTCCTTTGTTTGTCATAGGAAGCCTGGAGTCTATCTTACTGGTGAGCATAGCTGTGATTTCTAAGATAACTTAAGTATCAGAGGGGTAGCCGTGTTAGTCTGAATCTGTAAAAAGCAACAGAGGGTCCTGTGGCACCTTTAAGACTAACAGAAGTATTGGGAGCATAAGCTTTCGTGGGTAAGAACCTCACTTCTTCAGATGCAAGATAACTTAATCACCTTCAGGCATTCAGTGCAAACTGCACAGTTCCATCTAACATTAATGGCTTACCTTTGTGGAGGTAACTTCTAGGTTCTTAGCTCTAAACTTATTGACCTGAGATTCAGCAATATCTGCTCGTTCCTCAGACTCCTTCAGCTCATGTTGTACTTTCCTGAATTTGGAGAGGTGAACATTGACTTGTGCATCCTGTAACCAAAACACAAAAGGAACTAAGCCCAAGGAGAAGTGACATCCTGGAATCGAGTATCAGAGCTGAAGTGGGCATCTCAGCAAATTGTAAATGAATGTTTGTTCCTGTTAAATGACTCACAGCCTCCTCAACTTGTCTCTTGTAGGATTTGACTTTCAACTGAAGTTTATCCACCAAGTCCTGTAACCTCAGCACATTCTTTTTGTCCTCTTCACCCTATTAAAAAGAGACCATGAAGGTTACCTTTACGTTTTTGATGAGAAAAAAACATTTCAGGTGGATTTTCTCTTTTGCACCTGCCTGGAAAGTCAGCTCCTTGATGCGCCATTCATATTTCCAAATGCCTTTGATGGCATCTGCAGCTCGTTTTGGCTCTCCTTCCAGCTCGGACTCGAGCTCTTGGATCTGGGGAAGTAATTGAGAAATTAGGCACCAACTCTACTACCGGAGGCAGAGGTTGAAATTGTATTCTTCATCACCAGCCTTCAGCTCCAGCACATACCCTGGACTCCAACTTCTGAAGCTGCTTCTTGCCATCCTTCAGTGACAGCTGCTCTGCCTCATCCAGACAGAGCTGCAGTTCCTTCACCATCTGGTCCAGGTTCTTCTTCATCCTCTCCAGGTGAGTGCTGGTGTCCTAAATCAGGAAGGACAAATCGCACTTGGAGTTGCAGCTAGCAAGAGATGTTAAGAGTAACAAGAAGGGTTTCTTCAGGTATGTTAGCAACAAGAAGAAAGTCAAGGAAAGTGTGGGACTCTTACTGAATGAGGGAGGCAACCTAGTGACTGAGGATGTGGAAAAAGCTAATGTACTCAATGATTTTTTTGCCTCTGTCTTCACAAACAAGGTCAGCTCCCAGACTGCTTCACTGGGCAGCACAATATGGGGAGAAGGTGACCAGACCTCTGTGGAGAAAGAAGTGGTTCGGGACTATTTAGAAAAACTGGATGAGCACAAGTCCATGGGGCCGGATGCACTGCATCCGAGGGTGCTAAAGGAGTGGGCGGATGAGATTGCAGAGCCATTAGCCATTATTTTTGAAAACTCATGGCGATCGGGGGAGGTCCCGGATGACTGGAAAAA